TTTGAAACCGCTTGATTTGTACATGAATGTGTATTTTTCGACGTCAAAATTTTGTCTGAAGCGAAAGGCCGCATTTTTCTAAGTCTCTTTGACTAGTATTTATCGCTCTCTGAACATATACATATATAGTTTTGATATGCTTTTGCTGTTGCTTGTGCTATTTCTAATCATTTTGCATCACTTATTTCTGTCATTCGATCTCAGGTTGTGGAAATGTGGACTCGGGAGAAACACGCCAATGAACAGTTGCGAAACTACATCGATTCACTGATCACCCGCATCATCGAACGACACCCATCCTTGTTGGAGGTGGCTGCCACACCGGCCCGATGAAGTCCACGGTCCCCCACTTCCCCTGCTCCGTCTGCGGTGATCCGCTGTTTTTGAGGCCGTACGCTGTGATGTCATCCGGTGGGAACATTTTACACAGTCTAAAACACGCGAGTGATTGAGAAAAGCAACAGCAATTGGCCCGTACACATTTCGTCTTGCCACTGTCCGATTCCCCGTTCAACAGTTCATTTTTTCATTTATTCGCGCATCCGGGTGCACTCTTGTGATGAGTAGCGCCCAGCGATCGTGTGTTGCATTCGATTTCTTATGGCAGTTTGTACATGTGTGCTACAGATCCGTTGACTCAATCTGACACACGTTTGCATGTGATGAACTTGTGACGAGCGGTAGTTACATGTTACTGTACGCTGCCGTTTCCATTGCTACCTTGAACTTTCATCCAACTGTCTTTTAGGCTGCTGAACGACTATCATTGTCACCACTGCCACCCGCACCCGCCCACTGCCACCACATATCATCATCAGCCTTTCCAGTGAATGCTTATTTCCCTTTTTGGCTGTGCCTAAAGAGTTTGTCAGATTCCCTTGGAACTTTTTTCTTTCAGATTCTCACTATTGGTTCCTCAAGACAGCTGATTTGCCTATCTTTCATTTTTATCTTTTTTCTTATTCTTATCTTCATTTCTTCCTTTTCACTTCAGATTGCAAAAACCTTGACCTTGTGTATACCACATCTTGTTTCCCGTTCGACCAATCCCCTCACCTCTGATTTCTCAACTCAATTGGGATTCGTGTGGTGTTGCGTCGGGTTGGTTTGGTTTGGATCAGATTTTCCTCTGTTGTGATCGCGTGTCTTCTCCCGTGTTTGTTTGTATTATCGTTCTTGGTCTTCGGTACTTTTCTCTTCACCGGTCCCGTCCGATTTCCGCAGCTCTCTTTCTTTATAAGTCTGTTTTTTTCCTCACAATCCTCCCCAGGAATTTGCGCCTTACTTACCGGTCCACTGTCGGACTCCTTTCACGTTTCAACAGTGTATAGTTATTTTTACCCAGAGCAACAGCCCGCCTGACTAGAAACAACTAAACGAACTGCGCGACTTTTTCGCGAGCATATATACATTCATTTATCTACTCATTCACTCACTGTCTTACCTTGACAAACAAACAAATCGAGAAATTCAGATTGTGCTATTCGCTGTGAATTTTCTAACAAGTTAACTGTAAACGCAAATGTCTTTTGTTTTTGATTTATTTTTCCCGAGCCTTACTCATGAAGATGACCGGAAATAGACCACAGAATATTGGTCCTGTGCGGTACTAGGCAGTGCAACTGGTGGTGGATGTTTGTCTTCGTGACGAAAATAACTTTCTTGAAGTTGTTCAGCAGAATTGTGCATTCAAGAGAAAGAGATCTATGAGTGAGTAATGGAAGTTCAGTACACCGTCGCTAGATGGACGTTGAGGTGGCCTTGCTTGTTTTGTTGTTTTCACTAGGGGCTGGGCGTTCTGTTTGCTTTATCCAACAGATACTCCAGTAGGAGACGAATTCGATGCTGATAGGGACTTCAGTTTTTCAATCATAATCATTATCATTGTACGATGAAATGAAATATGTTGATCGCTTCTGAGCTCATGAGGTAGACCAAGTGAGTACGAGGCGTCAAGGTGGATTAGGAATGAATATATTTGGGGGTGGGTGGGAAAGACCTCTGTGACCAATCATGCAGTCTAAGGTACCTTCTCAGGCACTCCGACCTAATAAAATGATACGGTCATCAATACTGTCGGTTGGCTACCCTGTCTTTCACTGTTCAGATGACTTTCAGCGTCTTCAGTCAACCAGTTAATCTTTTCAATCTTAGCCTGAAATACGGAAGACATCTACTCTATCCATTCATCCTGTGGTGTTATTCATACCTCGTGTCCGAGTCATCTGTTTTCCTCAACTCTGGTGGAATGGGGGGAGGGGGGGGAGGAGGAGGAGGAGGGTAGGGAAGGATAAAACAGAGAAAAAGAGCTTTGCGGTAGTCGGCTGTTAGGCAGTCGCAGTAGGTGTCCTAACCCTGCGGAGATTACTTATTCGATTCCGGTGTGTTGCAGAATTTTGCCCCGATACATGATCGCTTATCGTAATGACATCAAACAGCCCGTCCCGGCATGCATGCGTAATCATTGATGGTGGAAAATCTACAGTAGTCGAACCAACTTCGTAAAGCGGAGTTAATTGCAATACGGCGTAATCAAGCTTCACATTGACGTCAAAGGCATCTCAGTCCAGCGTTTAGCCATGAGTATACGAGCGGTCATCTTTGCTGTGTTATTGTCACTAATGCGGCCTGCTGAATGAGGGGGAACCGTGGATTAAGGCCATTTTTGGATTATAGAGTTTCGAAGCCGGTGCATTTAAAACTCCCTTTCGGTGAGCCCCTTTGAACTTGAAAGACGTAAATTGCATGCTCAGAAAGGCAGACGATCTTGTTAGCTTGTCTAAATATACTTTGCTTATACCTCATATACTCGAAAGGTAGCTGATGTCCTCATCGTATTTTCTGTAGATCCCACAACTTTTTTCCTGCTGCCAATTCAGTGCAAACAGTTTGGAGACCCACCTGGGGCGTTCTATAGTATTTAGAATATGACAAAACTGAACGAGAATGAGAAATTAGGTCAACCTTGAAGAGTATCATTGCCTGCAAGTTCGCCCTGGACCTTGGACCGGAAGTAGGAGAATGAAGGGTCTCTATTCCACTGCGAACAAGCAAACTAAATGGTGACTCACAATCATCTGACTCAAATACCTGTTTCAGATCGATGAGCACTGTGATCGTCACTCAGCGGTGACCGTGTAATGTGACTCGAACTTATACACACCTTGTTGAACAGAGGCACGTTTTACCAACTTGGTTTTAGTTTCACTTGTTATCTTGTATTACATCAAGACTTGCAACGGTAATTGAATGATTGCATCTTATTTCTGTGACCCTTTCTGAGGTGAACATCGAGCCTAGCCGATTGTAAGTAAACTACCAAGTACGAGGGCCGAGCAAAAAGCTTGCGGATACGCAGTACACGTACGAGGTGCAGATGGCTAGGCAAGAAAGACGTAAACTGCAAACTATTCTGAACATTGTTCAGTGATTGTAACTCAAAAACCAAATAATAACAGCTCAAAAACCATGAAGTTCACTATTTTCGGACTCTTACAGTAAGGAGGGAACTCAGTCGATGACACTGGAGGGCGGTGATCTTATACGAATACAAATGTGGTTTAAAGCAGAAGCTGAGTGTTGATCGTTTGCGAGTTGCCTCTGTTGATGACACGCCTCCAAGAAGCACTGTGCTTGAGAGGTTTACGATCTGGAGCGTGGTATACGGTTCCTGGTTAATGAAGCACGGTGTGGTCGACCGTTGGAGGCGACCACGGCGGACAACATTGCTAATGCGCAAACGATGGTGGAAGATGCACGAGAGGTAATTGCACAGTTGGCGAAAGCCAACGGGATCTCATTGAGAGCAATCCGAACAACCCTAAATGGGAAGCTCGGTCTCAGAAAGGTTTGCGCACGCTAGGTAACCCATCGGCTCAGTGAGGAACAGAAAGCAGTTTGGGTGGATTGATGCCGCACCATGCTTGCCAGGTTTGATGGTGAAATTTCCAATGCAGTTTGGGAAACCATCAGTCATGAGATCTGGGCGTACAGTTTCGACCCAGGGACGAAGCAACAATCGGTTCAGTAGACATCGGTTGGTGGGGTGCTGCCTCAGAAATTCCGACACGAGCGCAGTGTGGCAAAGCAGATGGTGGCTGTGTTCATGGCTAAAACCTGTCATGTGACATCTGTACCACTCGCACAAAAAAGCATAGCTATCGAAGACTGGTATCCCACCCAATGTCCACCGAAAGTGCTGGAAGTTGTTTCCAGTCGTCATTCAAGGATTCTAACACGAGGGAACTTGATGGACCATGACAACGCACTTGCACACAGGTTCCATGTCGTCGGCGATTTTCTGGTTCGACAACGCGTCCAGGAAGTTGGTCACCCACCCTACAATCCAGACTTGTCTCCGAATAACTTTTTTGTGTTCCTAAATGTCATGAACATGATGCGTGCAATCCGACTCGGGTCGCCAACAGCTGCAGCTGTGCATGAACGCTGGAGGAGAATACTTTGAAAAAAATAATGCTTACTTTTGTATAACAAATACAAATTTTTTGAGCTTCCGGAAATGTTTTGCTCAGTCCTCGTATTGTCTGCAGTACTCCGTGCAATGCTACGTAGACAGCGGTGTTCAAACACTGACAATCTATTTTTGTCCTGTTCCCATGGTAGCCAAGTCTCTGCACCGTAGAGCAGAACTGGCCGAACTGCTGCAGCATATACTTGACCTTTCACAGACAACCAAATGTCACGACGGTGTCACAAATGTCTCAAGATGCCAACCGAGCCTTTTGGATGCGCGCCGATACTTCATCTGTGATGTGTCCGTCAGGTGAGATCAAAGATCAAAGATCAGAGATTTATTATGGGACTAACTTACAAGCTCATGCTTTTCTCGTCCCATAGGTTAGTGTGCTGGTTAGAAAACAGTGATACATACAATTCCTTGTGTAAAATGTCACGTGATATATACTTCTTCCACTGCTGCACGCAGCTTCACTTATGCTGGAATACAAGGTGTGCTAATGTTTCATCGAGTCTCAGTTTTAAAGATTCAATGATTGGAGCACAGACGACGTAGGGTGGGAGAGAGTTCCAGATTGAACACACTCTGACTGCAACTGACTGACGCCGGCATTCCAAGCGGTATTTTGAGACCACTAGTTTGAATAGATGTCTTCTAAGATGAACGTTGGGTGATAACTTTAGAAGCGGGCGACACGGATGGCTTGGGTTTTGCATTATTTGGTATACCATAATCATATCTCCTCTGATGCGCCGGTAGTGATTGGAATATAACCCCAGCGACTTCGGTCTCTCTGTGTATGAATAACGATTCAACCCTTTGACCATTTTGGTGGCCATCCTTTGTGAACGCTCCAGCACTTTGCAATCACGTTGTAGCCATTGATTCCATGCTTGAATAGCATACTCTCTGAGTGGGTGAATTTATGCTGATAGAAGACCGGGGAAAAGCGCTAACTCAAATTGGTCAAAGGTCCGCTTAAGCAAACCGACATTCTTTAAAGCTGCGTTCGACACCTTGGTGCAGTTGAGTGAGCAGCTTACGTTTTCTTGAATGATGATGCTCAGGTCCGTCTCACTTGAGGTGTGTGGCAGTTGTTCATTTCCGAGGAAATACGAAAATCGCCCCCTGTGTCGTAGAAATAGAACCTTACACTTGGCAAATTGAATTCAATATCGTTCATAGTGGACCACAGATGAGCTGCTTTCAACGTTTCCTGGAGTGCCAATGAGCCCGCTGGTTGCGTTACTGTATTCCAAATTTCGGCGTCATCTGCGAACAGTAATGATTTTGGCCCCAGTGCCTTCGGTAGATCGTTTATGAACGTTAGGAAAAGTGGCGGGCCAAGCACAGATCCTTGTGGAACCCCACGGGCAACGTCCATAGGACTGGAAAGCAAATCAGAAACACGAACCGATACGGTCCGATGTTGGAGAAATGCTTCGGTCCAACCAAGCACGAGGCCCCGAATACCTGTGATCATAGAGTGTCCGCAGTAGAATGTCGCGGTTCACCCGATCGAACACTTTTGATAAGGCTAGATAAATACGTGGTGCGCCCTTCGATTGGCTGCGCTACATTTTCTCCCTCTCGGAATCATTTTGTTTTCGTGAATACCA